ACATTAAATTCAAAAATTGTCTGTGCAACGGGGCAAGAACAGTGGTTTTCTTTCAAACTTGTTTAAATGAATCAGAATGCTTCTGTGTCATGTTTGGAAAATAGATGCCTGCAGAGATATGTGGAAACTTAGGATATATGCTTGGCAGAGTGACCACATGCAAAAGAGAACAATTCCTATATTTATGTCATCCAGAAGATGATATTCCTTCTTTTGCACAAGTATTTAAGGTATAGGATTCTTGTTCTTTTTGCAACTTGTTACTCTAGGCAGGCCACGTGCCTTTTGGAATTGGGTAAGCACTGTAACACTTAGGTGCCTGATAGCTACAATCAGGAATGCGGAAAACAACAAAACCAACTGCAAAGTTATCAAATGCTGTAAAGAGGAAACTGTACACCACCAAAGCTGCTCCCTGCCTCACATGCACAACAGGAAAAGCATGCAAAATAATATGCACAAGAAATGTGCATCCTGTCCTTTTAGATAAGCATAAAAATGTCAAATGTTTTGCTGATAAACTGCTGGGCAGATGACTCAGTACAAACCTGGCCGAGGAGGAGAGGCAAAGCTAACTTTTGCAGAGGAGTTTAGACAAAGATGAAGTACACATCATATGCACTGGTTCCAGTGGATGGGTTGGATTAAGGGTAGTTCGTAGGGACAGAACAGTTGCAGATGCCCCTTGCTTTTCAGTGGCAAAGTTTCCAGACACATTTCTGTTGGGGAAATTACAAGTAATTGCAGGTAAGTGCCTCAAGAAATCTAGGCAGTTGGAGAGATGGCTTATCATTTGTTCATCTAGCCAGAAGGAAGGGGGCAAGCAAGCTATGAGGGAGGCAAGCTAGACGTGGGAAGCATTTTTTGGGAGACAAACCGCCATTACTTTGAAATCTGGGAAAACATGAAGAGAAGGCTTGGTTCAGATTTTAAGCTTTTGCAGATTAGCAATGTGAGGGGATTTAGGGTAGTTTCTCTGAAGATCTCATATGCGACAGTGAGATTTGCTTTGATAGACTATTTAAGTTATTTGTAAATCAGACTGGACTTTGCAGATCTAAAAGGGGCCTGGATACCTGAAAGAGCACCTTCTTCCCCATGTGCCTGCCCACCCCTTGAGATCTGAGGCAGAGGTCCTTCTCCAGGAGCCCTCTTTGAAGGAAATCAGGAGGGTAGCTACCTGGAGAAGGCCCTTTTCACCAGTGGTGCCCTGGCTTTGGAACACGCTCCCCAGGGAGGTTTCCCTGGCACCATCGCTTTATTCTTTTCAGAATCAGGGAAAAACCTTGTTATTTTCCCAACATTTTAACACTTAATTAGTTTTATCTTTGTTTTTATCATTAATGGTCAGATGCAGTGTGTTGTTTGCTGGTATGTTGTTGTGCTGTTGTTGTTGTTTTGTAAGCTGTCCAGAGACTCTGGTATTGGACAGCATATAAAAACTTTGAATGAATGAATGAATGAATGAATGAATGAATGTTTCAGTCTGAAACAGAACAAATGAATAGGAACAGCGAAACTGAAGATGCCCCAATAGCCTAAATGGAAGACAGTTGAAATTTTCTCAAATGTCTGAGTCATCAACATATGCACAGTAAAATAGTGCACTGATAAAATAGTGTGTATCAACAGTTTCCAGTATAATTTTGTTTTTTCTTAAATGTTAATGTAATACAAATACAAGTTGTTGTCTTTTTGCAAGTATTCTTGTGTAAACATAAATGTAACATTTAAATCACAGAGGCAGTGCAATTCAATCAGGCTGCCCATAAAACTCTGAAATGAGAAAATTACAGACACCCTATGGAGGGTATGGAGGGGAAGGTTGCTTCCATACTTCCCCCATGATGTAAAACAGCCAATTTAGACCATCTAAGTCTTTTGCTCTGGAGCACAAGGAGAGGCTGCTGAGGTCCTGGCAGGATACTACTTATACTGGTGGTGCCTGTCTTCCCCAAGTGACCTGTCTCTGAGGTCACTGCTGCAACTTCACAGCTACAGCCAGTGTGGTTTTTCTGCTGTGGCGGTGAGGATGGAGTCCCTTCTCTAATCTCGGAGCAAGTTTCCAAGGAAGGAGCTATTGATTTATTTTATTTGTATACTTCCCAAGAGCCAAGCCTTTCTCAGTGGTTAACACAAATTAAGATGCTTTAAAAAGATGTTTCTGAGGAGCTTATTCCACAAGTGGGGTGTTACACTGAAAAGGCCCTCCTCCTGATAGCCGCCTGCCTCACTTCCTTTGGAAGGGGCTCCCAGAGAAGGACCCCAGAGGTAACCTCAGTGTCTGTGTAGGTACGTATGGGATGAGGATCCTTCAGATAAGCTGTTCCCAAGACATTTAGGGCTTTGAATGTTAGTACTAGCTCTCTGGATCTGACCTGGACTTCAACTGGCAGCCAGTGCAGCGGGAAGAGGACTGACATCATATGTTCTCATGAGTCAGTCCCCATTAATTGCTGCCCCGTTTTGGATCATTTAATACTCTGAATTATCAGAGTTCATACTCTGAATTTTCAGTTATTTATTTATTTATTTAAATCATTTTTATGCCGCCCCCATCGCAACAAAGCCTCGGGGTGGCTCACAACAAGAACAAAATTATACAATAAAAATATTAAAACCCGGTGCATCTCGGCTTAAAAGATTTAAAATCCTACAAATAACCAATAGATTAACATTTAAAATAAGTTTTAAATAAAAAGGTCTTAGCCTGGCGCCGAAAAACAAATAACGATGGTGCCAGGTGGACCTCTCTGGGGAGCGCATTCCATAGGTGGGGTGCCACCGCAGAGAAGGCCCTCCTCCGGGTACTCACCCTCCTAATATCATTCACAGAGGGTTCCTGGAGAAGGGCATCTGCTGCTGATCTCAAGGGGCGGGAGGGCATATATGGACACAAGCGTTCCTTTAGATACCCAGGACCGAAGCCATTGAGGGCTTTATAGGTCATAACCAACACTTTGAATTGGGCCCGGACTTCAATCGGGAGCCAGTGGAGCTGACAGTGAACTGGGGTTATATGAGAACAACGCCCAGTCCCTGTCAGCAGCCTGGCAGCTCTATTCTGCACCAATTGAAGTATCCGGACCGTCTTCAAGGGTAGCCCCACGTAGAGCGCGTTGCAGAAATCAAATTGGGAAGTTACCAACACGTTTGTCACTGTCACCAGGCAGTCGTCCTCCAGGAAGGGACGCAACTGATGGATCAGCCGAAGCTGAAGGAAGGCGCTCCTCGCCACCGCCGTCACCTGAGCTTCTAAAGACAGCTCAGAGTCGAGGAGCACTCCTAAGCTGTGAACCCTATCCCTCAGAGGGAGTGCAACCCCATTTAGGACAAGGCCCAAGTCCCCCATCCCAAGGCCCGAGCCACCCACCAACAGGACTTCCGTCTTGTCTGGATTGAGCTTCAGTTTATTGGCCCTCATCCAGCCCATTACCTCGGCCAGGCACCGGTTCAGCACAGCCACTGCCTCACCTGGATTGGTGGAAAACGAGAGGTAGAGCTGGGTATCATCAGCGTACAGATGATTCCGCAGCCCACACCTCCTGATGACCTCTCCCAGTGGTTTCATGTAGATGTTGAATAGCAAGGGAGACAAAATGGACCCCTGCGGAACTCCATGGCATAACTGCCATGGGGCAGAGCCATAGTCCCCCAGCACCACCTTCTGAAATCAGCTGTTGAGATAGGAGCGGAACCACCGCCACGCGGTGCCTCCAACTCCCAATCCCGCTAGCCTATTCAGAAGGATACCATGGTCGATGGTATCGAAAGCCACTGAGAGGTCCAGGAGAACTAACAGGGATGCACTCCCCCTGTCTCTTTCCCTGCACAGGTCATTGTACAGGGCGACCAAGGCAGATTCAGTGCTGTACCCAGGTCTGAAGCCGGACTGAAATGGGTCCAGATAATCAGTTTCACCCAAGAATGCTTGGAGTTGTCCCACCACCGCCCGCTCTAGCAACTTGCCCAGGAATGGGATGTTGGCCACCGGTCTATAATTGGCGGCCATGTCTGGATCCAGGGATGCCTTCTTTAGGACTGGCCGGACTACTGCCTCTTTTAAAGAGGAAGGTACCCGACCGTCTCTTAAAGAGGCATTGACCACCTCCAGGATCCAGGTCCCAATCCCATCCTTGGCTTTGTTAAGTAACCAAGATGGGCATGGGTCTAGTAAGCAGGTGGTAGGGCGTACGTGTCCAAGCACCTTGTCCACATCATCAGGCCGCAACAACTGAAATTCATCCAGTTGAATTCATCCGGGCCAGAGCAGGGACCTGGGCCGGTGGTCGTGGCCTGGGTGCGGCAGCGGCAGCAGCGGGCAACGGAGCAGCGGCAAGTTCCGGGCGGCGCGGATGGAGGTGGGGCCGTCTGATGCGCTGGTTCGCTCCCGGGGGCCGGCCCCAGACGCTGCTGGCGCTTTGCAGGCCGCAGGGCCCCTCCCCGTGCCCCACCCCATCCCGGCGCGTCTCTCACACACGCCGGGGGAAGCGGGCTGGAGCAGGGGCCTGGGCCGGTGGTCCTGGCCTCTGTGCAGCAGCAGCAGGTGACGGAGCAGCAGCGAGTTCCAGGAGGTGCGGGCTCCTGGTGGCACAGATCTAGTTACCCATCTAGACATCATCTAGTAGCCATTTAAATAGGATGATTCAGAAAGGATCCTGTCCTTCCTCTTTGTGACAGCATTTCAAGTACCTGTAGAGTATTATCATCTCTCTGCTCAGACAGGAGATTCCAGGATATAAGGTATACTTATGGCAAACCATTTTCCTTTTCTCCTCCACTGAGATACCTCTGCTAGTTAGCTGAAATTAGTCATCTAGCTGAAAAGCATGGTAGGAGGTGAAAGGAGATAGGGATCCTACCTCTAGTTTTCCTATGCTGCTCCAGATGCTTGTAAGCTTCTGAGTTTGGGCGTTTATAAGCTTCAAGAGTGCAAATGATAGGAATGTGCCTTTAAAGTTTTGAGTTCTGTTAATCACACTATATTTTGTTTCCGATAGTTATTCTGAAGTCTATAACCAAGCATCTACACACACCCAAAGTTGAAATTATGGATTGTGGAATACAGTTCATTGAAACTCTAAAGAAGATAAAATTTTCAAAAGCAGATTGTCTTAATGGAGAAGACTTTGACTGGTTATTTGAAACATTAGAAGATAAGTCATTTTTGGAATGGTTTTGTACCACTTTGAACGAGCATCATGCATTATCTGATGCAGAGCTGCAGGCACATAATGTGCTTCTTAATTCATCAAAACCTCTATTGGAACTGGAGGCTTTAGATGAAGTTCTCAAGACTTGCACCACTCTTGAACTAAACACCAATACTTGTGAAGAAGATGATGAAGAGAATCTTAAAATATTAGAAGATGAATTTCAAGCTCTTCAAAAGATGAAGCAGCTAAAGATACATCGTCGTATCAAACTTCAATTTATGGCCTCAAGCAATAATCTTATGTCGCAGAAGCTTAAAGAAAAAGGAGAGGAAACACCTAAAACACTGAAAGAGAGTCAGGGGATTTTCACTGTCATGAATACAAAGATAAACAATGAGTTGCAGTATCTTACCGAGCAAGTTGAAAAACTGACCTCTTTCTTTGCTGTTGCGTCAAGAGCAACAAAACAACAAGAGCTGGATCTTCATCCTGTGCTGCTAGTCCAACTTCCTTTAGATAAATACTTGGGTCAGGAAGAACAAAGCACTGCTGCTCTTACTTTGTATACAAAAAAGCAATTTTTTCAAGGCATATCTGAGCTCGTTGAGAGTTCTAATGAAGAGAATTTCCAGCTTATTGATATAAGGAATACATTCAGTTATGAAAAGAGCAGTGATGTATGTGGAGAAAGATTAGAGCTGACTAGGCTGCAGATGGCATATGTTTGTGCTCAGCATCAACTGATTCAACAGGAAGCTAAGAATCTAAGCTTGAGATCAGGTCTTCGGTGGGCAGAAGAAAATACTGACTATTTAAAAAGAGTAAGTTTCTTAAAACATTGATAGTTAGGAATGTTAATGACTCTTTGTTCTTAACCCATGGTACCTGCTATATTGAGTTCCCATATTTAAAAAGGAGATCCTACTTCTCCTGTGTTCAGACACCTGGTGTGGTCAGGGAATAGGCACTTCTTGGAGATACAGGATAAGTTTTAACATTCAGACAGGCATACTTAGGGTCACTTCAAGATTTTTCATAGATAGGTCAACATTTATGGTAAAGCTTCCCTTTCATTCTTTCTATCCTATTTTAGGTGCTTGCATCTATCAATGAGGGTGCAGAGAGTTATCCCATCCTTTCCAGAGATAGTTCAGACAATGGCAGCTTCATGCATGTTCTCATTCTTCCCCCTCAATTAAGTTTGCAGTTCTGGTATGCTGGGAGTTGTCGGAGTTATTTTTCCTGAGCACGTACAAGATTGTGCCCTTAGCCATTCTAACCAATGCATGGATAAAACCAAGTTGCGCGCACACGCACACACACACACCCTGGCAGATTAAAAGGCTGACACAAGCTCCTGTGATAGTATGATGATAATGTCGAGCTTGTTTGGAAGGTTAAATTGGCAAACAGATGAGACAATCCTAACCTTGTAACTCAAGAGTATTGAATGCCTTCTCCACAAGGGCCACGTTCCATCAGCAGGAATCTTGGTCACTGCACAGCCTCCTTAGGCAAGCTTACAGCCATTTCTCTAGCCTTGTAAACTCTCTCCTGATCACCATCACCCCATAGTTTGTAAGCAGAGACAGAAAGAGTGGCAGTGAAGATGTTAGCTTAAAATCACCAATGCACACTTTCTCCTGCACACCCATTCTCACTCATCCATGCACATCCTGTTAGAACTGACGGCGGGACAGAGAAATCACTTTGTCCCTGCTTAAGACAGTTCACTTGGCTTCTGTGGTGTGCAGGAAACAGACTTCTTTTTTCCCTGCCCTGTACAGAAGCCAGGCACACTGCTTATGGAAGAACAGATTGCTCTGTTCTACCCTCAGCAACCTGCAGCGTTTCTGTACTGGGCACGGAGAAGCAGAAGCCTCTTTTTCCAAACATGGAAGCCAAGCAAGCTGTTTGAGCGGGGACAGAATGATTTCTCTGTTCCCTACTCTGGCAGCTTGATTCATCTCCAGCAGGAAAAGTAGAGGATGTGGGGCTGACACTTCCCCATTCGTTCTGTGATTTTTGGAGTTGTTGGCCAGACATCCCAGATAAAATGGCTTGTCTTTCCCAGTCTCTTGAAGTTTGGTGATCAGTAGAAACTAACTGGAATGATTTTTGGAGGGCAGATTGATTTAAAGAAAGGTAATTAAAGCAGTGATTTAAATCACCAAGGAAAAATGTAGCCACATAATTTGGACTGAGTTCCACAGAGGTACTGTATATATTTCCTCAATAATGATGCATATAAATTGGTTAACTTCTTCCTCAGGCCTGGTTAACCTCTACCTCCCTGTGCCCCTCAACATATTGCCTACAAGGACAGGGGTTGTCGACCCCTGCTCTAAATCATGCTCAATAAGAGTCAAAACCCAGATATATCTGGTACAGTACCTTCCCCCAGCTCCTAACATATTATGCCAAGTTTACAATTCTTTTCCCATTTTCTGGTTCATTATTTACATGGATCATTCTTTAATTCAGTAGGTTCAGAGGGTTATTCACTGATTTGAAAAGACTATAATATTGCAATCCTACCAATTGGTGTGGATTGTTCCGTCATTTGAGCTTCCAGAGAATCCAAACCTTGCTGGATTCATGCCATTATAAATGGTGTAAATGGTTGGCTGGTGTAATTGGTGTCCTGCAGTAGCAAGGGGTTGGACCCAATGGCCTTAATGGTTGCTTCCGACTCTGTCATTCTATGACTCTATGATTCATTTAAGTGGAATGAAGTGAGGAACAGTGGGAATTCCTTTTCTTTTCTGAGGTACCCTCCCCCCTTTAATACGTCCCTTCACACGTATGTCAGTAGGAGGAAAGTAAACTGTCAGCTCCAGGGCTGATGTAATAGCCACGTGTTCTTGGGGTATATCAGGACATGGAAGGGTTGAGGATCTGTAGCTTCTTTCAGCATGTTTATAAAATGTATCTTATCCACTGTTCTTTTTAAACTTTGCTGTCCATGGTTCAAGGAAGTTTTTCTGGTGGCTGGAATCAGGATAGTAGAGTTGGAGGGGGCTGGAGGGCCTTCAGATCGAACCGTCTGCTCAGTGCAGAACTCCAAGTTAAACCATCCTTCTCAGATGCAGTCCAGTTGCATCTGGAATGCTTTTAGTGTGGGAGAGCCCACAACCTCCCTAGGTAATTGGTTCCATTGTAGTATTGCTCTAACAGTCAGGAAATCTTTCCTGATATCTAGCTGAAATCTGGCGTCCTCTAACCTGAGCTCATTATTCCGTGTCCTGCACTCTGAGATGATCAAGAGGAGATTCCGTCCTTCCTCTTTGTGACAGCCTTTCAAGTACAGTGGTACCTTGGCTCATGAACTCCGTTCCATGACTCTGGTTGTGACCCAAATTGGTTGTGACCCAGGTCAAATTTCCCCATAAGGTTAAGTGTAAATAAGGTTAATCCATTCTGTAACTATTTTTTTAATCAGAAAAATTGGAAACAAAGTGACAAAGAACAACAAAGTAACAAAGTACTTTACAGTACAGTGGAGAACACTAACCTAGGTGGGGGGAGGTTATTGTTTTGAGGGAGAGTCCCCCTTCATAAGGACACTGGGGAGATCTCTTTCACGGGTTTCCTCTCTTCTTTGTCTCTTAGCTGCAGGGTCAATTTTGGTGAAAAATCTATAGTCACTTGTTTTTTCCTGTGCTGCATAACCCTCCGAAAATGAGAGACCACATTCTCATTCATCAGAGTCAACACTCTGTTCATTACAGTTATGTTGGGGTGGTGCTTCTCAAAGAAATCCTGGCACTCATTCCATTTTTTCATAACGGATTGTATCATATCACTGCTAACCTCCTCCCTGTCTTCCTCAGTGGAATCCTCCTCAGCAAGTGCCTTCTGCTGCTCACTCTGGAGTTCAGCAAGTTCTTCTGTCGTCAGCTCCTCTATGTCTTCTGTGCCCGAATGCAACTGCAATTGTGGCCATCTCCCCATGGTGGGGGGTGGGGGCAGATGGTCACGATCTTGGTGGCCACCCAATGTGGAGTTCGTGACCCAAGTCAAAATTTTCCTGAAATTTTTGTTCGTGACCTGATTTGGTTGTGAACCAAGGTGTTCATGAGCCAAGGCACCACTGTACTTGTACAGTTCTGTCATATCTCCCATCAGTCTTCTCTTCTCAAGGCTAAAGAGGAATAGATATTTCTCAAAGAGGAATAGCCAAAAAACCTATCCCAACCTTTAGGACACCCTTCCAGGGACCATAATATTGCATCCTAAGTGCCTTTCGATAAATGCATTTCCTAAAATGATGAATAAATTTTATTGACATTTTTATCTTCCTTATTTTAAAACTATAATATGAGAAATTGGAACTTTTTAGTGAAGTGAGTGTGGATTGAATAGACAATTGTGGTTTACAGGATCTTATGTTTCTTTTGCAGACTCCTGAAAGAGAAAGATTTGAAGCTAGAATTTCTAGTTTGAACAATGACATCTCTAAAATAAAAAAACATTTGGCTCAGATAAACAATGAAACCCTACCTTTGCTGCTAAAAGAAGATAAAGAGCTATTGAACATGCCTGTGGTTAGGGGTAATTTTGATCTACAGATTGCTCGACAGGACTATTTCATGTCAAGACAAGATCAGATTTGTAACCAGTTGATCAAACAGAAGGCCTCATTTGAACTTCTTCAATTGGCTTATGAAATTGAGTTGAGAAAACTTAGAGAAAACAGCCATATGCTGGAAAATATGGTGCAGGATCTGAAACAGAGCAATGTTACTTTGGGTGAAACACTAGAAATAATGTCTGAGCCTTCAGTATCCCATCATAAAGTACTGAGAAGCACTGTTGATTCAAATGATATTGCCACACATAGGTAAGCACCTAGCAATTGTTCTGTCAAACTGAAATATTAAAACACTAAGTAGTAGAAAAGTGTGATGGAAAACTAACATCCTAATCCTCACTGTGGAAAGAAGTTCCACTGTAATCAATGCATTTTCTTTCAGATAAACCACATGCATATGCATAAAATTTGCTGCTAATAGTAAGTAATTGTTAAAGTACAATGTTTTAACCTATTTCTGATGCATGTGTGCACATGACAAGTTAAGTGGTTATCAACCTACTCAACCTGTCAGGCCAGAATAGGGACATTAAGCTGATTCCCAATTAAAGAAGGCTGAGGTGGTGCTGCCTATACCTGTACACAGTAAGCATGCAGGTGCCCATTTAAACCATGGAATATAGGCTCATCCCAGTTTGCAAAGCAACAGCCTCTTAATTTTGATTGAAATCATAAATATTTTTGTTGACTTATATTTTAGTTTTGTTTTCTTGATTTAACTTTGTGTTGTATGTACTTTTTCATCTGAGTAAATTCTCAACCAAAAATTCAGATCTGGATTAATGATCCAGTGATATTAACATCAGTCCAGTGTTAAATTTAAGAGTCCCAAAATCAGCATACTTTTGCAATGTTTTGCTGTACCACATTGAGGCTATATTTGGAAACATAGATTAATAGTGTGAGGCCAAGACCTTCCCAAAATTTTGTTCTCTGTTGCAACTGTTCATGCAATGCCTTGTAAAAGTATTACCATGCTTTGACTTTTCCACAGCTGCCATTACAGCCCGGAATTGAAATGGATGGAATTGCATTGTTGCTTCTTGATGTACACAAGATATTCAGTACTGTGAAGGTGTAAAATATTTTGATTAAGACACAAAATTTAGGTAAACAAAAACATAGTTTATAGTTTAACTGCTGAAGCTCATGCCACCCTACTGAAGTGAAGATTAAGTTTCCACTAGTGGGTTTCACTGATGGAATTATTAGTGGCTCTACTCTGTTGTATTTTCAGGTTGATTTTGCAAGATTTGTTGTAGTTCAGCAGATACCATTTTTAATGTGCACTCATGTTTTAAAGGTTGTGTCAGCTTCTGGAAGGAGAAAATCTAAAACAGTTGTTCAGAACACACAAAGGCCTTGAGCAGATGGCTGAAAAATTACACCTAAACACAATGACAGTGCTTGATCAACTAGCAATAACTAGCCAAGAACAAACTCTTCTGCTGTCAAAGATGGATGCTGCTCTAATTGCCCTCCGTGATTCCATGTACTGCAGTGGAGAAAGCATCTGTCTTAGCAGTCAGGTAAGTAATCAAGCTTAGCTATCAACTGAATTATGATCAGTTGAAATTGGGGGTGTTTATACTGAGTAATAATCTTCTTATAATATTGAATATTACTCCTTTTGCCCATGTATCTGTTTAATGTTGTGACTGTTAGCTACATTCTATCTATCATATATAGAAAGCCTCCATAAACTAGGTGGGCAGGAGTGAGTGCTAATGACCCTAGCTGGAATTTCCCTTTTCTTGCTTTACCTCCTTCAGAATCAATGCAGTATACTCACAGTATTCTCACTCACTTCCAGAGCTAGAAGCAGTTATTTGGCTGCAGGAAGAGCAAGATAGCTGGATTTCCTGGCCTCCAGTTCTCTTTTTCTTTTCCCTCCAGAATGAGCCGCCAGCTTCACTTCTTTAGCTCCAAACTGCATAGCTGTGGCCACCATAATAAGGTGCTGCCTGTTCTGGACGCCAGCTGCATCTAGTTCTGGCAGTAGATATTACATCCTTTCTCCATTTTTGGTAGGCACCACAGGCTCCAGTTCCCCCACTTATCAGAAGCTGGCCCTTCCTGCTGCATCAGGAGTTACCATTGGGGAAGACAGAATCCACACCAACCTCTGTCTTCTCCAAACTTCATTAGGACATAAGCTACTCCTATGAGTTCTCTGCATTACAGCAGAGAAGGGTTTGTGGCAATCACAAAAAGGCATCTCGGAGCGAAGCCAATCTCTTGTGGTTTACTCATCTAGAAAGTAAATTTTGAGGATTTTAAGATTAATTTTTAATAAAGCTCAGTTCAAATATGTATGGGCAGTTGTTGAAGGTTGCAAAATTAAAGAGTTAGGGTGGTGGTTATTTCTCTAGTTACACATATTCAAAACTCAAATGCATAAAACTCATTATTGTCTGTGTTTTGTATTTAGGAACTTGCTGAGAAGTTCAGTTGGCTGGAATTTCAATTGAATAAATTAAATCAGCTTATTATGGATTTTCTTGCTGATATAAAAGCTAAGAAGAAAGTATTGGAAAATAATACATTACAACAGATGGAAAGAAAACTCTATGTGTACTTTCTCAAAGACGTGGAACATTTGAAGAACATTGTTGAGAGACTAGAACGGCAAGTTAAGGTTCAAGCTATGTCTTAAAGATAAACGTTCAATTCCTAGTGTACAATTTTAGGTTAGTATATTTCTGTTTGAAACAATTAAACTGTTTTATTTAACACTACAATGTAACATAAAACTGCCCAGAGAGCCTCAGCTATGGGGTGGCATATAAATGAAATGAATGAGCATAGGCAAGAAAAAACAGAAGGACTGATCCTACAGCATCAGAAAATCACAAGAGAAAGAAAACAAAACAGGTACTGTCAGTTACTATTTGAGCAATTTGTATCCTATATATTTTGAATTCAGGGACAAAATAAAATCTGAGATGTTGTTATAGAAAATTGTTACAAACAATCAGAAAACATCCTAATAACAAGTCTCTTTAGACTTGTTACAATACTTTCCATGTTTATTACAGAGTTTTGGAAGAGAAACTTCATCAGGTTTCAGTTTAGCCTGGAGGAAGCACATCACCTCAAAATGTATAAGACATTTCATATGTCATGAAGATGTTTCATTAGCTCTCTTCCCTCTCTCTAAAATTAAATCATTACAGCCCTATGAACATGACCATGTATCAGGAGTGTATGGATTATTTTGTACAGTTATACATCTTTGTGCCTAATGCTGGTTTTAATCTAATATCTGCATTTGCCTTTACATTCCCAGTGCTCTGTGCAGTAGTATGTATTAGCCTCCCTCGCTCTGGTGCCCTGTAAATGTGTTGAACTACACATTCCATATTCAGCGTCTCATCACTCCCAGCTATATCAAAAGAGCTCCAAGTTGGGGAAGGCTGCTTCATCACTTCCCACTGTGCTGCACTGAATTGCAGTGAGTGACTGAGACTGCAATTGTACAGTCACATGCACAGAGGTAAGCTCCCTGAACTCAGACTTGGTTCTGAATAAGCATGCATAGTGCTGTTAGCGTTCCATAGTTAAGAACAATCAGTTGTAACCTTAAGTCTAGTACTTAGTACTAGATGCATTACTAGGTAGCAATTAAGGATATATGCGTGCATTCATAACAGTTAAGTTCTAAGCATACCTGCTTCCATGGGGTTTGATGGAACATTCAAGTAAATGTTATTTAAACAGGCTGTAAATATTAGCACTATCAGTATGTGATTAAGACTCTTACAGATCAAATGCTAAAATTCTACCCAATACATTTTTTTAACAATTCTATGTGTCAGGTGTTTTATTTTCTAGGAATAGTAAAATGTATACAAAATGTTGTAATTTCTATCCCATGTGTATGGTGCATTCCTCGGGGCCTATTCTACTTCTTACCTACAATTCCCTGAGGTAGGTTTGTGACTTTGAAAAATCCAGCTAGTACATTTTACTCTTGAATGTTGAACAGTGGCTCCATACTTCAGCACACTTATCAACTATTGGGTCTACAGATGAACAGAAGTGGCTTAGTTCACATGCTTTCTGGGACAGACCGTTCTGGAACTTAAGTATTTTCTTCATACATCACATTAAACCTTCTGATCCTAATAAGTAAATTGTGGCATCTAAACTTCTGGGCCTAATTGATTTCTTACACTTCCATCCCACTTCCTTCCATGTTGCTTGGAATTGTATATATGATCATCTCACCTATTTAATCCTCACAATTGCATTTTAGGCTGAAGGACTGTTATTTATGTAAGGCAGGTGATAACTTCTTATGGATGGGGACCCGAATAACATCACCAAATTCTTGGATGTCCAGCCAGGGACCCTGGCTGAAGGAATTTCATGCACCATGAAGTCACCTCAACTGAGGCACCAAGTAGATTTTTTCAGCTTTCTTTGCTGTCATACCTTCCTATAGGGTCCATTTTGATTCAGGGGGAGAATGCACAACAGCCAAAACACATGCCTTGCTAAGTTTAAGTATGTACACTGTGATGGGTGAAGTTACCCTCAGTCCTACATGGCTGAGCAGAGATTTAAACAGTAGTCTCCTTCGTACTGCTCCAGCCTGATTTGCTAATTTGGAGAACAGCTGAATATAGTTCAGATTGCTTTGAAGGTCACCAGATAAGACTGATAGAAATTTCAGTTCAGGAAATAGAAATTTTTGCCTTTCCCCAAACAGCATTTTACCTTTAGACATAACATGGTGAGATTTGTAGACATAATTATTCTTTATTAGGGCTTGAACCCTGCAAGAATTCACATAGATAAGTGCAAGTGATATTGTACAAGAGCAGCCTCTCCAGGCTGGTGTTTTTCAAAAGCAGATTCTCAGGTTGTGAGCACTTAGAAGAGCTGCGTATCTGATTGGGAAGTGGGTATCAGGAGCTGCCACTCAACCACTAAATAGGCTACAGGGGCCACAGGAATCTTGGTATTGCTGCTTCTCCAGCCATTCTTGGAATGGTATTACAGTCACTGTCCACAGTGCGGTTTAATACTGTCCACAGTGCAGTTTAATTCTGAGGTGGTTAAATGCTGTATGAGTAAAATGTGGCTGTGGCATCACAATATATATTATAAACTTGACATAATACATTATAAACTTAAACTAAGAAACGTATCATAAACTGTCATGATTTAGACAAAACATGCAAGTCAAAAGCATATGTGCATGTGTTGTAGGCTATTTTCTCTCCCTGTAAGAAATCTATGGTGAGGAAAATTTTTTTTAACGAAAGCGAATTTGTGTCAATTAGGATTTTTTATTTGTTTTTGTTTTGTTTTATTTTTGCTATATTTCATGGCGGCAGAAGCTTAGGGTTAGGGATTACTTGATTTGGTGACGCGCGCGCGTACACATGCCAATCCCCAAAATCCACAGATTCTGGGGATATTTTTACTTCCCGCTTCGGGAATAGTTTTCAACAAGAAAAATGTTAAGTTGCAAGGGGCTAAAATTTGGAGGCATTTCGTAACGGCGAGGAAATCCCAGAATGTATATGGGGAAGCAGATCCATGGGGACGAGCGGAATTTGCAGCGACGCAGACAAAGCCGGTCAGCAGAGCGAACTACCGAGGAAGTCAAAGGGAGGCGCTAAGTCGACCTTCCCGGAGCAGTTCTGCCGGAAGAGGCGGCGGAGGTTCCGCTTCCCTTCCCGCTGGGACGGCGCTCCGCCCTAGGCAGGAGCGGGGCCGCGGAAGATGCTGCTCGCGGCCGGCGTGGGGGCCCGGCCGGAGGCCGTGGTGGCGCGTGCGCCCTGCCTGCGGCTGTGGTTGCGCGGCGCCGCGAGAGGTTGCTCGGCCCAGCGGGGGGCGGCGGCGGCGGCAAAGGGGGCAGCCCCGGGTCGGAGCCTGCAGTCGGCTTTGCGCTGCAGGCTGCGGCCGCGGGGAGGTTGGCCCGCAGCCTCCGGTTCCCTCCCTGAAATGCTGGGACATGGAAGGGTGAGTGCTGGGGCTTGCACTGCCCGGGTGGCCACGCTCTCAGTTTCAGTGCGAGGACTTAGCGAGATGATGGTTGTGGCGTAACGGAGAGCTGCCTGGGGGGAGCGCGGGGGTCCAGGATCTAGTCCCCGTGCCCGGATCGCTCAGGGCTGGATCAAAGAGAGAGCCTGGCTCTCTGTCAAGGAGGGGCATGGAGGGGTTCAGTCGGTCATAAGGAGCAGCTGAGTTCTGGGATAGTTCCTAAGGTGCGCAGGATTGCACTGATAAAGGAGGCAAAATGAGCCTGATCCGTATTGCTGTCATAAGATATACCGATTTAGTAGATAAATGTTTGTGTTTGTGTTGTGGAGGTGAAATGGTTCATGGGTCGAGAGGTGGAAGTGGAGGGCTGGGCTGCAAATGAAAACAAATCTTGCTTGATGTATTTCTCTAATTCAAGCTGTAACTCAAGAAATATAATCAACCCTCTTTCCTGTTGATTGGCATTGCTAAGTTTGCACAGAATACTTTGTGGTTTAACACAGTTATAGCACTTTAAGAAGACTCAAAAATGCATTGCAAACTGCAGCCAGGCTTGTTCTGTGATTTAGTTCATTTCTTGAAATGGTGTGAATGTGTGAATTTGGAAATTATTGTAACAAATATTGATTTTGTTGCCCATCTTTCTAGGTTCCGTTTTCCTGTGTGGAGTCTCTTTGCTGTTTCAGCACATCACCTCTTCCTGAAAATTCTGAATACGGCAGATTAGTTTATCGTGGAAATTTGGCAAAAGCAGTATTAGGTGGGTGCATAAAGCTTGAACGTATACTTTAATCTTAAAAGTTTTCATAGGAAAGACTGTGCTATTAGTGAGTGGTTTGTCTGACCAGATGCGGGGAATTCATCCTGTTCAAGATAGTGTTGTAGTCCGGGGCTGCTGCAACCCTTGAAGGAGCGGGATCGTAGCCTGGAGGTGCTCCTTGAGCCATCTTTGTCCCTTCAGGCCCAGGTGGCTTTGGCTGGTGGCTCAGCTATGGAATGAGCTGCCCATTGAGAATGCCCCAGTCTTATTATCCTTTTGGCACCAAGAAGGCCATCCTCTACTACAGGGCATTTTCGTGGCTCAGAAGTTTCACGGAAGGTTCCCACCAGGCAAGTGGGTATAGCATTGCAACCTTAGTAGAGGGCTATATGCTGCTTGAATTATCTGCTTGTGTGACAGTAATATATATCAGGTTAAACACTTTATATGGTCTGGAACCAAAGTACTAGAAGGGCCAGCTTTGTCCATGTTAGGCTGCCTACACAGCAAGAGAAGTACTTCTCAGTCGCTTAGCTGTGAGAGCAGTTAGGTGGACAGCTCCATGAGAAAGGACCTTTTTCGCAGTGGCCCCACTTCTCTGGAATAAGTTACCAGCAGGTTCTGCCATCCTGCAGCACTGCTGTCTTTTAACAAGGCTGTGGAAACATACCGTCTTTCTTCTGATATACTCTTTTTGCAGTTTTCTGATGCTGGGATCTGCTGCCTTGTTTTTGGCATTACCAGGGCTTTTTTTGTCATAGAACGCACCGGAGCGGTGTTTCGGCACCTTTTTTTCAATGGATTTTACGAAGTGATTTTGAACAGAGTAGCATCTGATAGTGAAAGATAGCTGCTGCTCAGCTGCTCGGCTTGGGATTGGTGTGTGTGCTTACTGCTGGCGGGGACGTGAGGCGTTACTACTCTTCATAGTGCACTGGTTTATGTTTTTTTATCTTTATATGGTACCCTTTGAGGTCGTCTACCTAGGAGGATGAAAATATTTTAACTTAAAAATGAAGGTGCAATCCCGTAAAACCTTAGGCAGATAAAAAGCTTATCTTGTTGGGGCATGCTGGGTGTTGTAGGTCTTATTTCTATCTAAACTTGCATAGGATTGTGCCCTAAAGTAATTTTCAACCTCTAAGCAGCTTTCTTTGTTTTGCAGGTGCGAAGTTTGTTTCTTATTTTGCCAGCATTTGTAGCCTTTCCATGATGCCTACAATCCTCTTCAAAACTGACTCAGGTGTTGACGGCCATCTCCTTGACATTGCCTCTGGTGTCATTGCAGGAGTCTTTACAATAATAATACCAGTTGTCCTGCATACATTTACCAAGGGCTACATAATCCGGTTGTACCACAAGGCTGAAACGGACACTTACACAGCTATTACATATAATGTTATTTTGGCAGAAAAGAAAACTGTGTTCCATCAAAAGGATGTGAAGGTTCCAGACATCAGCTTGATGTTCACAACATTCTATGCAAAAACAAAATCTATGCTTGTTAATCCATTGCGTTTTGAATACCCACAAGACTATAACCATCTTATGGGTTATGACAAACCCTTCCCTTTTGACCTGGACAAACCAAGGGAATCCACCGAAAACAAATAAAATTCTTACTTGCCATGTGTTTTTGTAAAAATATTTGTGTATGTACAGACTATTCAGCATTCTTTCACACATTATAAGTTATAAATTTCCAGAGTATTTTTCTTCTTTAAAGCTGTACCTTGTTCACTAAATTAAAAATAAACTAACATGATTAAAATTCCTTCTACTTATTAGAAAATTATATTCAGACCTATTCTGCAAGGTCAGAATGTCATGGAAAGGAGTACTAACCCAATCATTTCCAATTAATCAGGGAGCGAAACAGGCCTGTTTCCTAGCACTGACCTTGTTTAATCTCTTCATAAATGATGTAGCATCCCATCTGAGCAGTGTGGATGGTCACAGTCCTAGACGTGGGTTGTGTAAAGTCATACTGCTGCTTTATGCAGATGACACAGTAATTCTCAAACATGCATAGCTCTGAATCGTTGGATTAAGAGCTGTGCAGTATATTTGGATAAAAATGGGCTGCAATTAAATTACAACAAATCCAAAGTAATGGTCTTTGCCAGAACACAGAAAAAAAATTTCCTGGAAATTTAAGGCCAACAATATCGGGGCACCAATTTTCATTATAAGAACTCTTGGGTTCTCAGCTGTACTCAACACAGCCCAGCTTTCCGCTCAGACTTATTTTTTGTATTTTTGTATTTAATGGTAATTATGTTCTATTGTATTTCAATGTATTTTATTATGTTGTAAGCCGCCCCGAGGCTTCGGCAAGGGGCGGCATAGAAATGTTATAATAATGTTATAATAATAATAATAATAATAATAATAATAATAATAATAATATTCTATTTCAACAGAGGGAGTAGCTATGTACAGTTGCACTTCAAGTTTTCAGGGCCAAAATAATACCCCAAGTATTATATGGTGTCCCTGGAGAATATCCAGTTAAGCACTTAGTGCAAATTAAAGCCAAGTATACCAAGTCTACCATTTCAGGTGTCTAGAATCAAAATGCATCTCTCCTGAGAAAAATATCAAAAAGGAATAAGTATTTGCAAAAGTGTCCTTGCCTTTATAAACCACTAGAGAGACTCATTACCTGACCCAAAGGAAGCCACAGCCTTGAATTTACAAGAGCTGAGCAGTGCTTTTGGAAAGCTTTCATTCATAGAATGGCCACACGTCCAAAACAGACTGACCTCATGTAACAGCAGCAGTCAGCCCAATTGTTACGATATGACAGAAACCATTCAAAAGAGGTGGATAAGTTATAGTCAGAAATTGTCATAATTGTTTAAGTAGTAACTAAAGTTTAACGTGTTTGGAGGTTAGGAAGACAAAAGCATGTTTTTCCTTTTTAACTGCCTTCAAGCCAAGGGTTCCCACACCTGCTTTGGTTTTGGATGGATGTTGCAATCTAGTGTTACTGATACTTTTCAAGTCTGCTTCCATGACAAAGCATGGCAAGGAGCTGTGGTGCTAACTACAGCATTGTGTGGGTCTTACATGGCAGAAGTGACAAGTGAATAGTAATGTAACCCAAGCATTACCACCAAACTGATTCCAACCCTAATCAAATCTCTTAAGATGCACCCTAGATTCACTAATTATTACAATGCAGCAGAATATGTATGGTCACACGTTTTTCTTGAAAAGGGAGAATAATATAATCACTGCTTACCACTGATACGTAAATGCCTGTTGAAGACGGTAGTAATGTTACTTTTCACTTTTATTTGGCTGCTGGCTTTCAAGTTACAGACAACCCAGGTTAAGAAGTTTGCAGTTGAACTTTAGATACAATTGTGAGTTGGTTGAAGATTAAGCATCTTTTCAAGTTGTAGGCCCCCTCAGCAAAAGGGATGTGAGATTAGCATCTGTTGCTTGTTACATCCATGTCTTTTGGAATCCAATATGCTTCACATGTATATTTGTAACTGAAGCAATTAGCCAGTACAAATCTCCAGTTCAGTCCTATTAGAAGAAAAGATAACCTCAGGTATTGTAGTTGGAAGTTCTGGCTTTTGTAGAAGTGAGCCACTAACAATAGAGTATAGATCTTAGGTTTGTTGCAGCTTTCCATAAAAAGTTTTGCCAAAATATATATGGAAGTAGGCCATACTTTGTATGTACAAGGGGCATGTATCCTTGCTTGTTTCTGAGGTTGGATTTTACAAATCCGCTTAAACAGATTCATGCACATGCTGGCTGCTTCATTTACCATTGTGTGTGCGAAGAGGGCAGCTGCGTGTCTGCTTCTTTACCACACTAACAGGATTCCTGTCCAGTGAGTTCTGCCCAGCTTTAAGAGGGAAGCATCAGAATAAGTCATATAACACTTGTTAAAGAAAGAAAATAACAAGACCATCCTTTTTGTGATTATATGCACCTCTCTAGCACGGGGGTCATAATACTAGTTCTGATAAGGTCAAACTAATAAACAGAAAATCAAAGACTGAGGAAACAGGCATTTGCTAAATAAGGAGAGGATGCTGCTGCTATGAAAATGGTGGGACAGGGAACTGGAATGCTAACAGGTTTGTTCTGAGGATAAAGTAGGAGGAGGAGGAGGTCTCTAAGATGTCTTAGGGTTCTCAGAAGAAAGAAAGTAAATGTAACAATAATAGTAATAATACATAACCTAGGTGTTGCAGGTGCTGGTGACAACCATGGGAGAAGAAATTGTTTAGCAATATGATGTAAATATGATGCTTCAATAGATTTCCATTTTGTAATTCATTTGGAAAAAAAACAATGTAGTTTTCCTGTTAGGTGCAACTACTGTGACACAATTCTGAAGCAACTGACAAGGTACAGGAAGAGACTTAAGAAGAAATGTACTAAAAAAGCCCCTGAAATCACGTGTCTGAGGGTGACTAACCATATCTCAGTTCCTCTTAACTGAAAGAGAAGCAATGTAGTTCTGCATCTTACTATTTGATTGCTGTGAAAATGGTTTCAAGGCACTTAAACATGTTCCTGCTTGTTATGCTTTTTTCTGTTTCTGGATTTACTGAAGAAAAATCTCTGCTTTGCAGATCAGATGACCTGGATATTTTCTATTCCTTCTGTGGTATGTAAAAAGCATGTGACATTGTTCTCAAACAAATTAGAATTGTGTCCCCCACTCTGATTGAAGCTCCTAATTTCTTAATGGGAATTATACAGCTTGATTTCTCAAGCCAGGAAAAGCGTGTTCTGAATAGCCCTAGAAAAAGACAGGAATGATTGCTTTGTTTTCTGTTTTCAGGGTGATAACCTATTGCTTCATGCTCCCAGTATATTGGGTATAATCTGGGATCCTTTGTACCAGGCACTAAGTTACTGCTGCTTCCTCTTCTTATTTAATTGTGCTTACATTCTGCCTTTTCCCTTCTTCAAAGAAACCAAGCTGGCTTACATAGCCTTCCTCCACTCCAGTTTACCCTTACAAGGGTCCCATGAGGTAGGTGAGGCTAAGAGTGAATGACTGGACCAAAGCCACCCAGTGAGCTTCGTGGCTCATTGAAGACCAGAACTTGTATCTCCTGGATCCCCAGTCCAGACTCCTGCATTTTAACAACCACACTTGCTCTCCTAGGGTCTAGTCAAGTTGCATTGATGCATGCCTAGTCTCTTAAGTATTTGCAAATAGTACTTGAGGGGTGGATGATGTAGATTGCAGGTGTGCTGTGCTCATTGTGGAGAACTCTCATCGCACACCATTTTCCAGATAGGGGATTTAGCAGCTGCCGTGTATTGCAGCCCCTGATCCATCTGGCTCATTGTCAGGACAGACCAGCAGTAGCTCTCCAATGTTTTAGGCTGGAGTTTCTCCTGCTGTATGGGAGATACTGGGGATTGAACCAGGGACTTTCTGCATGCAAAGCAGGTTCTCTACCACGGAGATACAGCCCCTCTACCCACCACCACCTCCTCCACCACCCAGTTAAGCTACCATTCACCCTATTAGGGGAGAGAGAGAGAGAGATTAGAATTCTTTTTCGTGTAATGTAGCAGGGTTACACTGGGGATCACATGAGTGAAGTCGGCTGGAGCCAGAGCTCAGATTAGATGGCCCAGGAGGTCCCTTCTGACTCTCTTTCCCCCCTATGTTTCTAATGCCATTTTGGAAAAGGCATTGCCCAATGCTGGGTGTTAGGTTCACCCTCATTTCCCTGTTCTCTTCCTTCACAAGTGCATTAGCACATTTGCAGTAGACAACTTCCTGATCTGAATGTGGCCACATGGTACAAATGGGCCACTGCTATGCTTTTCTCCAGCAAACTCTTTCTTTCATTATCATCTTGCCCAAAGAAGATTCCTGTACTCAGTGTATCTAATTACAATACCATGTAACTGATACTGTTTTGAAAAGTTGTGATGATGTTAATCTAACTGGATTTTTTTAAAAAAGAGTGACTTCTTTCTTTTTGTGTTAGAAAAAAGTGCCTACTAAGGCACTTGAGTGCCTACTGCCTTTCCAACATCATCAAAGGTTAATGGATAAAGTCAGGGCCAGTAACAAGGATAGCCATGGCTGGGCACCTGCTGAAGTATCACATGGCATCGGGGGCCCACTGATACCAGCTCCGTGGAATTCTTCCTCCTCTACATCGTTGCAACTTGCTTCTCAGGACTTTTCTGCATCATGAGTCATATAACCCAGTGAATTACCAAGGATTCTTCTTCCATTTTCTTTGCAGAAGGATTCAAGCATTGTTTGCATGAGTCTGCCCAGTTTCTGGGTTTTTCCTCTCTGCTTTTCTTTATGTTTCTATATATTTCATTACTTAGTGCAAGGTACAGAGTGTGGTACAGAGCAGAACTGCAGAAGTACACTAGTTTTCTGCAGTGAACTATGGTACCATCTAGGACAGTATCAGACTTTCCTTGCTCTAACCAAGCTGTGAAAATGTCTGGCAAACTCAGGAGAGGCCCTGGCTAGAAGATGGATTCTGAAAAGGCCCTGCAAACATCCATGAGTAAGGGAGTGTAAGTGCACATGACTTGTGTGGAGTCAAATAGTCATGAGAAGTTTATGTTGTTGTCTACTTATAAAAGCATACTATAGAAGAGCAAGAAGTGCCCAGTAAGGCCATCTGGTGCAACCCTTTGCTCAATGCAGAACTCCCAAGTTAAAACATCCCTAACAGATAGATGCTTCCAGTGTGGGAGGGACCAACATCGTCCTAGTCAGTTTGCTCCATTCGTGTATTGCTCTAACGGTTAGGAAGTTTTTCCTGCTGTCCAGTCATAATCTGACTTCCTGAAATTTGAGTCTGTTATTCCATGCCTTGCACTCTGGGATAACTGACAAGGAATTCTGGCCCTCCTCTGTGTGACCACCTGTGTAAGTACTTGAAGAATGTGATCATAACTCTCCTGAGTCTTTTTTTCTCAAGGCTAAATATGCCACACACGAACTGGTGTGCTACCTGTCAAAAAGAGGATGCAAACAAGAAGCAGCCATCAGGAGGAGTCGGAGTCATAGCAGATGGTGAAAAGACCCACTGACAGGTCTTGGCCAAGGACCCTCAACAACCTTGAGGCAATTCTGGATAAAGTGGATGCTACCCTGCTTGCTGCTCCGGACTTAGACTTCAAATATTTGATTTGACTTCAAAGTGGTGATGAATTCACACGTGTGTTTACCAGTCAGTCACCGAAGTGATTGATGTTGGCTTGAAGACTTGAAACAGCCATCACAGTTGAAATATCACCAACAGAGCTTTCAGTACATTTTGCTTTGCATCACACAGTGCTTTCCACTTCTCAAGATTAACTGCACATCAATGTGGGAGTGATCTTATGGCCCTTGGGAATCCACACTGATCTCCCCATATCCTACAGCAGGTGTGGAAAGAATTGCCTCTCTCAGCTTGGAAAATGGAAACCTGACCTTGAACAGAGGGTTAAAGAGGCTTCCCAGGGCAGCAGGGAGTGTCTGAGCTATCAGAGGCCAGATATGAGGTTTCCTGTGTCCTTTGTAGCCTCCTCCACCGAAGCACCTCAGCTGGCTGGCAAAAGCACCAATCTAGCTAAAATGCAGGGCAGGAGTGCAGAGGGGCAAAGATTGCCTCCATGGCTTGTCCCTCTCAACACTGGGAGCTTATATACCTTGTTTTAAAGACTTTTGCCTGAGAGTGGAGTGAACCCATCACAGCAAACAATTGCAACTAGTGACAATCCATGGGTTGTGATACTCAAAGCCTACACTTTGAGTTGTTGAAGATTGAGACTTGGAACCTATGGTTTTTTCTTGGGTTCCATAGAACCCAACTCTGGGTTGTTTAATCCTCAGCAGTGCTTGTAAAACAGAAGTGCTGTGCAGGCAGGAGGCAGCACGCTCTCTTACTCCTGTGCACCCCAACCAATTCATAGGTTATTAAATCCATGAACTGGTTTACAAGCCAACCAGTCCACAGAGTGCTTCCAGATGAGGCATTTCTTCTGCAGTCATAACATTTTAGGAAAGGATCGGACAAAGATGTTTTCAACTTATGACTGCTGTGCTTTCCCACTGCTTACTCCATAGTATTTCTTTCCAAGGGCAGGGCAGGGAAGGGCAGGTCAGGGTCTTTTTATTGGTAGTAACAGGAGTCCTCTACCTGGAAATACCAATACTCCAAACTTTGATATTTGCTAACCTAAAAGCTAACATGATTCAGCTATGTATTTCAGCAGTTGGTCAAGTATGGATGGTCAGAGCTTCAAGTTCTTCTTGAAGCTTCTTCTTAAAAGTTTGTGTCATTATAATTTTTTTTTTCATGCAGGTACTGGTAAAAATACATTCTCCTTTAAAGTGGAACCATGTTCATTAAAGAATAATTCAGTATGGAAAGGGTTTATGTTCTGGATTCCAAGTAAGTTATTTTTCTGTTTCAGATAAACCAGTCTCATTCTTGTACATTATTATAATGAGATGTACTTCAATCCTTTCCCCCAACTCTGGATTGTATCCACTGGTGGCTTTGTGCTCGTGCAAAGTGTTCCACTTGTGCAAGGGTGTTCTACATGTCAAACATTTTCAGTGTCTTTCCATCTTCTCATGTAGTCCTTGACATAACACATGTTGTTACAGAGGTTCTTCTTTTGGGGAGCTAAAGTAGGAGCTAGGGATCAGTAAAACTCGAGAGCTCTGCTTTGTACTAGCAGAAATGCTTTTGGTGGTTTGAAGCAGCTAGCGCCAAGTCACCTTTGATGTGACCCACTGGTTCCATTCCATAGATGCCTAGAAAGGTTAGTGTTAAAACTTGGACAAAAAAGTAATTTCATATTAGGCCTTGGACAGGTAGTGTTCAAAATCAGCTCACAAACAAAGGCAGTTTGTTTCTCAGCAGACATTCATGCTTCATGCAGTTTACTCAGTTAAGATTTGAGAATTGGAAGAATGGCCAACATAATCCCGCCCCATTTTCCATGTGTTCTTTATTCAAGCATTCGACATCTGCATAAGGACTTCAGGGTTCGGTGCAATTTCAATACCAATGCACAGCCAGGTTTCCTCCAGATGTTTTGACTCCTGAGTCAAAACATTAGTATGGCTCCTGGGTCAAAATAAAACATTAGTATGCAGTGGCTGCATGCAATTCTATACATCTGCCCCATCTTGCATGGGGAATGGTTAGGAAGGTTAGGACTACAGTCCAGAAGATCTGGGGGGCACCCAGTTGGAGAAGACTGGTTAGGAAGATCCTTGGAATGCCCAGAATGTTAGTGAACAAGTACAACTTTGTGGTTGTTTGTTGAATCTTCCGTATCTGCTAATATTTCAGAAAGCCTGTTGTCCTCATTAAATGAACAATAGTGAAATCCTGTGCATGTCTACTCTACTTCAGTAGGACTTACTGCCATGGCAGCATGTATAGACTTGCATGCAGCCACTGCATACTAATCTTCTTATTACTGAAAAGGCAAATTGGGAACAATTAGCATAGTGCGGAAACTTGAATTTTTATATATTGCAAACTGTTTTCCATGCTCATTCACTCTCGGTTCCCCACGGTATGTGTGTGCTACTAGTAATATTTTTCCAAGTACTGTGGTTGAGATGTGATTATAGTTATCAAATGCACAATCATTTGACTTCTCTGATTTATATGAGGTGACTGACCCATATCCAAATTTCATAGATTATACTCTGTCATAACAAAATGCTTTCTATTCTTTTGTTCTTGCTGCCTCTTTACAAATGACTGTGCAGATATGCTTTTATTTGGTGCTTCCTTCAGTCATACTGTCACATAAAATGCACTGTCAAATTTCCCATGAATTTTGATAGGTTCAGAAACAGTAGGTTGCATCCAATGATGCCCCAGCATTAATGTGAATGATGTTGCAATGGGGTAACCCAACATTTATGCAATGGAACTAGCATAATGGGGAAAAGAGGCAAATTGCCATTAAAATTTGGGATACCACTGGAGCCTACATGTGATATATATCAGCACGAGCAGATATTGTGCTCCTTTCTTGAGAAAATAGCTGAATGTCATTGAAATTGTTATGTTAATTTTTTTTAAAGAAGCTGATTTGTCCGTTTTGACTGGGCGTGTAAGTTTGTGGTTCCAAGGTTCACTATCCTTAAAATGGAATGCTGTTCTTTGCCATGGTGAGGATGATGAATATTCATTTTGTGGCACTCTGAAGGGAGGTAAGTGTGGATTATGGTGTGCTGACCTACAGGATATACATTCACTTTTAGTCATTAATGTGCCAAAAATTGCTGTTATATTTTCAGCCCTTATTTTGAACTGGAATGGTTCATTCATTTATGGCATACGTAATAAAATGAATAAAAATATAATAGAAATAAGAATACAATTGAAATAATATAAATGTTCAGAGACAACAGAAGGATTTCCTCTTGGGATCCTCTTGGGATCAGCAAACTTGGGTTATTGACAGACAAGTGGGGAGGTTCATGTGAGTAGTAAGACTGGAAGCTACATGACAACAGGAGTGTGTCATGTTCACTTTGCATATCTGACACAAAAACCAAGCCTCCCAACCTGATTTTGCACATGGAGGGCTTGGGGAGGTTTGCAGACCAGTGCCACTCAAGCATGGCACACTGCTTATTCATTGTACAGCATTTTCTTAGCCGGAGTCACTTTTAAGGCTTTGGATCATGCTCAAACAAGTGACCTAGTCAGTATGTGAAAGTGAGATTGGGATGGGAAAACTGTCCTTCTTCAAACTGCTGATGACTTTCAACTAGCCCATATCCTTGATTTTCTTTTCTGTTATTAATTTCCATATTCCATTGGACCAAATCAGCAGGGTTATGGTGCTGGCAGTGGCGGACAGAGAGGGCTAGGCAAGGATATCCCCATGTTAAGAAAATATCCACCCCACTCTGCTGTGTGGTAGATCTCTTTCATGCCCTTCTTATTCCAGTAACGCCAGAAGCAATGCTTGGATTTCATGTTTCTGGCTATGGGTTGCCTCCCTTAGGCTGTGGCCACAGGCCTCTGCCACAAAGCAAGCTGAACTGCTGAACTCTCAGTTTTCCCAGGTGTATAAACAGTGGCTGTTTCTTATGGAAAGCCAATTATGTGCAACCAGCAGTGACAGAGCAGCTATGATGGAATTTAAATGGCAGTCACAGTGCAACCCAGCCATGCATCCGAGAGTCTTTGGCTAATGCTGCCCAGCACACAGCAATTGTACACCATGAAATTCAGTTGTATTCTAACAACCCAATTGTATTGTCAAATTGCTGCACAGTGATAAATTAGCTTTCACTATGCGATGGCTGCCCCTTATAGAGTGTTTCTCATCTAGCTGCATATTAGCTAGGTTACTCCTCATTCACCTGGAAACACTTAAAAGGATGTGGTGGCATGGCATGGTGAAAATCAGAAGTTCAGTACAGGTGGCAGTAGCTTCACATGATCAGCTTCTATTTTAAAGAATAGCTGGTAGAGGTGGCAGGGCAGGGAAAGAAGGTCAAGGGATGGATAGAGAATCCCCATGGAGCAGATTTTGCCCACTGGCTAGATTTGCCCCATGGGCTGGAGATTCCATACTGCTGTCCTGGGGGAAGGTATGGTGAAATACAGGATAGCATGCTCCCTGTTAGAAAACTTGGGTGTACTTACATTTCTGGTGGTAAGCATTGTTTCCTTTACTTTCCTGCCTTAGTCCTTCATCTTGCCCTATTGCTTTTCCTTAGAATTTATTCTTGAACTCCCCTCTGACAAGCAAACTTATGTTTAAAACTGTAGAAGACTAATAGGATGACTTAATTTTGTTATGTCAAATACTGATCATTTTTCTTCTGTGACAGAGACAATCAACACAACTGTACGAATCAGTGGTGCACAACCCAGATATAAAATGGTACTCTTCAGATTTCAATTTTTGTAATGAAAATTGCCAGGTGTTGTAAAAGTTAGCCAAATAATGAGTTCAAACTAGTTTTTGTTTCCTTTTCTACTCACTCCCTCCATGTTTTGTCCTCTTTTAGAATGTCCTTGATTACAGAAGAGAGAACAACTCTGTGTGTAGCCCCTGAATCTACCTGTGCAATGCTTAATGTTGTTAGGGCAACAAGTAGATAGTGTCCTATCTTGAAATGTGTACAAGTAGCACATTGTTCTCCAATGTGTCCAGCAAAACGTTAGCTTTTATCCCTGCTTTCCCTAAAATCCACCTTGCTAGCCAGTCAATGTAAACTTTGATGAATGCATTTTGTCCTGCAAAAAATGGGGGGGGGGGGTAAAGACCCTAATGTTGGCTGCAAAAGGGGGTCATTTTTCATCCCAGACAAAAGTGTCTCAGGCAAGGCAAATATGACAGATGAAACATCCTTGTTTGGCAAAATGTTTAACCTAGGAGGTTGCATCAGTATAAGAAAGATTCCAGATTTCAGCTAGTACAGGTAATTTAATACATAGTCTTCCTGAGGCTATGCATAACAATGATATCTCCATAACAGTACTTAGTCTATTGACCCTATATCTTGTCTGGTGTCCTTTTGGGTGGCCTCACAGAATTAGTCTGATGCAAATTTTAGGTCATTTTACTATCCCAAGCATGTTTGGGTTTATAGAAAAAAAGGCATGAGACTGAAATGTAGGGGCATTTTTTACTGCCCAGATTTTGACACTGTCTTAGTAGACTAGAATGTAAGTCTGCTTATATGCAAATTACACAACTGAAGGTGAGCCTGGAGGATGCCAGTTACACCGATATGTGGAGTGCAGGCTAGAGATATCTGGCTTTCCCATTCCATTCAGCTAGTCCCTGAGAAGCTATTCCCTTCACTATAATGCATACTCTGGGGTCCCATGTGTGCATTACACAGGACTCTCTGACAGGATGGCCAAACTCCATAGGGGCTGGATTGGGTAGAATCACTTTTGAGAATATTCTGTCAAGTGTCCATGGTATGAAGCTCAATATTTTTGAAAGACATAAAAGCATGAATCCATGTGTAATGATACAGATACTTGTTGAGGCATGTATCAGACTGATTCAATGTTCTGGATGCCCTTGGAAAAATCTCCTTGAGGAGAATTTAATATGTCACACTAAACCAGTCAGTTTGGGTGAAACAGATAATTGGGTCTTGTTTGTTACACAGCAGTTGCTTAGGAATACACAGCAGAAATACATTCCACAGTTAGGAACTGACTTCGCTTTTCTTTATTACAGGGAAAATACATCGTTATTTTTGAAGGCTTCGCTGGTCATTTCAATAACTTGATAATATGTATGAATTATACATTTGTCATTAAGCAGAATCTTATGGAATGAGGAAGTTCCTCCAAGACCACCGCATAGTATAAGAACTGCTTTTGAGGAAGCAGCAGAATTCAGTCTGATCAAGAAATAACCAGCTCCCAGATTTTGCTTATATCAGCAAAATAATAAAATGACTATTTTAAATAGTGCTGTTGTGAAAGCATTACATTTCTGTAATATTATGTGAATTGGGTTCAGGTAAGCACCAAAGAACACAAAATGGAGTTTGATGCAGAGTCGTTTTAAGGAGTGATTTTCAGTGCTGTATGAAGAAGAACAAACTGCCCTCTTCTTGAAATATTTGACTTTTTCTTCTAGCCAATGTATCTTTTCTCTCCTTGCCATGCCACCATTAGCTCTCTTTTGCCCTCCTTTCCCTCCCTCTTTTTTTCCTGTTTCTGGACTGATTCACAAACAGTTCAGGTGTGCATGAAGAGAACAAATTCAGCTTCAGGGATGCTTCTGGGGTTTGCATTCAGGTGAGGAGGGCAGGTGAAGAGGGCAAGATAAAAAACATCAGCACATTTAAGTTCTTACTGCCAGTAACTAAAGCCTTCAGAGAACCTTCTGAGCTTGAGAATTGGAAAACTGAGAAATCAGCAAAGAGTTGGTGGTGAAGGAAAGGGAGAGGGTTCAAGGGAAAGCAGTATGGCCATCTGGACATCCCCAGATGGCTACACTAGACCCCAGAGGACCAGATTTGAATCCTCAGTTGTAAATCCTGTACCCCTAATACAGAGACATCACCAGATCACTCATATTTTTGTGGGTTGCAAAAACTAGTAGTTGACATTCTGTCATTCTGTACTGTGATAGAGTTCATTCTTTATTTAATTAGAGTAGTTTTGTCCAATTCTTTAACCAAAAATGGCTCCTGGAACAGCCTACAAATAAGCAATAAGAGAAGGCCATTCCTTCCCCCACAGGCTAACAGACCAAAATATGTTTGTTTGTTTGGTGCACTCTATACTGCCCAGTAGTTGAAACTGTCTGGGTGGTTTGCAACAATTAAAACACAACACACAAGGTAAAAGGACCAGGGCAGGAAAGGAGGGAAATTGTGTCATGGTTGGTGGTTTGGCCCTGCTTCCCCTTTTTGTGGTAAAGCAACAACTTGAGCCACAGATGGTATTGGCTTGGATTTGTGACTTGCACACAATTCACGGGTGAAATGCTTATACAGTCACGGTTTTTATTTACTTAAAATAAATGTTCGCCTATCTTTAATGGCAGAACTCTCTCCATCTACTGTACAGGATAGAAATAATACAGAATTATGCAACATAAATACAATAGAGAAGCAATAAATATTCCATAGATTACTCTAAAAAGAGATTCCATCAATCAAATCTGCATTCTACAGATTATAGGATGACAGCTTCCTGATTTAAGCCTTTTCCCACAGTGTGGGACCACCAGTGCCAAGTCATAGACAACTGAATGCACGGGAGTAGAGGAAGTCTTAACCAGGCACCTTAACTATTCTACATGGGAGCACTACTGGCAAGATCTTGTCCCTGTTGCCATCCACCAAACTACACTTGCGGGGGGTGGGGCTCTGATGTTGATCAGAGTGTACAACTGGGAGAGGTTCTGCACTGAGATCTTGTGGTCCAGAGCTTATCATTGCTTGAGCATTGTGAACTTCTGTTGACGCTTGACTGACTTCTCTGGGAAGCACTGTTAAAATATATGTGACTTTGGGCTGATCTAGCAATATAATTCTAATAAGAATCTAGTATGGGTTCTCTGTTGCTTAGATTAGGCTTCCCCACTCTGGTGCCCTGGTATTGGACTACAATGTCCATGCCATGCTGGCTGGAGATGATGGGAGTTGCAGTCCAATACATCTGGAGGTCGCTAGGTTGGGAAAGGCTGACATAGACTATGTAGTTGTTCAGAATCAGGATTTTCTGTGCACAAATAGGTGGTCAAGGCACATTGTAACGAGTGCCATGTGGTTCTCTAGTCTTTGACACACGAGATAACATGGTCCTTATAGGGGAAATATTTATTTATTTATTTATTTAAGATATTTGTATGCTGTCCTTTGAGAGAGCCTCAGGACGGCTTACACAAATAAAATTCCAAAATACTTAACAAAATAATATAAATAAATTGACGACCCACTCTGGCTGCAATTAAAATATGGTAATAACATTCGATATTAAAACTTACTAAAATATTGATTAAATAAAAAGGTCTTAACCTGGTGCCGAAAAACATATAATGACAGCCCCAGGTGGACCTCTCTGGGGAGCACATTCCATAGATGGGGCGCCACCGCAGAGAAGGCCCTCCTCCGGGTACTCTGTCTCCTAATATCTTTCACGGAGGGTTCCCAGAAGAGGGCCTCTGCTGCTGATCTCAGGGGGTGGGAGGGCAAATAGGGAAAAAGGAGTTCCATTAGGTATCCTGGTCCCAAGGCGTTTAGGGCTTTATAGTTAATAACCAGCACCTTGAATTGAGCCCGGACTTCAATGGGAAGCCAATGGAGCTGATAGAGGACTGGGGTTATATAAGAATAATGCCCAGTCCCTGACAGCATCCTGGCAGCTAAGTTTTGAACCATCTGAAGTATCCGGACTGTCTTCAAGGGCAGCCCCACGTAAAGCGCGTTACAGAAATCCAACCGGGAAGTAACCAAAGCGTGTGTCACTGTTGCTAGGCAATCTTCCTTGCTAGGCAAATATCACATGCTCCCATACCTCCAACCATATCTCCCACATATCCCAGCTTGCTCAAATTGTCAATTGCCTAATTGCAGGTGCTGGTCATCTGTAGCCATTCAGATTGTGTGCCAAAAGCTGTCTGAAAAATTGTAAGCCAAGGACCTGTGGCTGAGAACAACACATTTGTTTGATTAAAGGCTGCACCATAGCATGTTGCTGTCCATTTGCATGTGGAAAATGGTGACATCACATTGCCATTCCACAAGAATGAAAAGGCAAAAGCTGGGGCTTAATTGCACTTTTCAAGGCTTCATTTGTCATACTTCAGAAGAGGCAGACAAAAGGGCATTGTCTCAAAGTACAAGAAATGATTGATATTCTCTATGCATCACCCAACATCACAGTGTTCTGTGCAGCTCTGGTTGTTCCTCTTTGAACAGCATTATGTCACGGCCAGGTGGTTTCTAGTGGTAAGAGAACACTTCAGGAATGTTGCAACTCTTTCGATGGAACGAGACAGAGTCTTGTGATACCTACAAGATTTATTGACACATCAGCTTTTAGGACTAGCACCCAGTCGATCACAGAAGAGTTATTCTCAGATGAGAGATATATACATAAACACAGAGAAGCATCAAGAGAGAAAAGGAGGAACAGTGGGCTAAAAGGCACGAAACACCAGAAGTACCTCCTGGCACATTTCAATGGAAAGCTCAAATTTATGCAAGCTAAGCATAACTGCAGGAATTGGTGGCAGGCCTAGTCCTCCCACTGTTTTTCAAAAGCAATGAAACCAGTTGGCAAATTCTGCTTCATCAATTTCAGATGGGAGCATGTATTCCGTTGGAGGTCCATTTGCTCAGTAATGGTGACTATCAGACTAGCAGGAGAGTGTCTCCTGCTCCTTCTTTCTAAATGTTGGATTTGCATTTATTTATTATTTTGCATGTGGGTTGACTTGTGTGCCCTATGCATACACAGGTGATGGAAAATTATTTGTCTATTCCATACTTTTTAAATACTGTCCTTCAACAAAACTTCTCAGGGTGTTTTACTGAGCCACAGTAACGTGTAACACCCAAAAGATGGCACACAGACATGAAACAGCAATTAGAAGCAGTGTGCAAAGCAGATAAAACTGCCTTAAAAGCTGGAGAGATTTTTTAAAAAGTATTTCTTGGTGCTGAAAAGATAACAGTGCAGAGACTGGTGTGCCTCCTGGAGAGAAAATCTAATGATCAGACTGCCTTGACTGAAAATTGCCCAAACCCTGGCTGCCACAGGCCCCTTAAAATGTTGTGAGACACTTGGAAGGGAGCTTTGACCAGTGGCTTTGGCACACATGCTGACTGACAGGTGCAAGCATAAGATGTCACATTAGAGTACAAGCAGGTGAATGAGCCTCTGATGTTTTGTTGCCTTTGATGTTTTCGGCAATGGAGTTGCCAAAGTGATTCGTTCTGGGTTTGTTGCAGAATCTTATTTCTGAGTTTTGGTGTCTGTTGGGTGGCCTATTGCTGCTGCTGGTGATTTGTGCAGACCTGGGAACTGTGAGCAGACAGTATTCCTGGTATGAAAGCTGCACTTTGCTCTGTAGCCACAAGGCTGCAATATGCTTCACTGACTAAGGAAAGCTATTCTGTCTCCGCTTTTTACAAACTTTGACGTATGCATAGCCAGCTTTAGCAAATTGAAACTGAAAATGGCAACATGATATAACTACGAAACATAATGAAAGAATGTGGGAACCATGGGAGAATACTATGTCAATGCCAAAATGTTTGTTCAAGGTGGATGGTTCTGTTTGTCTTTCTCTCAAAATGAAGCAAGGAAAAAGTAGGTATTCCTTACATGGTCAGTAAACAAGGGATGCATAGTGTGGCAGTGACCAGTCCAAATTAATAAACTACTTCTGTGGGTTATGGCCATGGTAGTGCTCTCTAAAAATTAATTTTATTTAAGAATTCACACTTCAAATATATAAGGAGCCTTATGGCTGATGGGGCAGGATAAAAATGTAATCTCTCTCTCTCTCTCTCTCTCTCTCTCTCTCTCTCATTCTCCCTCCCTCCCTCTCTAGGACACTCATCTTCAATGTCATCATACACATGTGACCAGAACATGAATAATTTCAAAACATGAAACAAGTTCTGTACATGCACATTTTATACATACTTATAACCTATACTGTTCTTAAGAAGACTATGTAAGAAATACTGCTTTCATAATTGAAGCATCAGCTGGTTTTCTGCACTGGAATGAATTCTGTCAAGAACAAGAACAAAGGAAATCAGCAATCGCAGATTTCATCATACACAAGCTGTTCCTGACAGCCTCATGTCACTCCAGTGTTCTCAATAATGTGACAGCTGGCTATACACACGGTGCCTTTCACTACTGAATAAAAATACTCCACACAAAATTTTGGGCTGCACAGGATGAATGGTGCTGAACATTTCTCTGTGCAAGGGGCAAGAGCAGGGGTGGGGTAGGGAGCTTTCTTTCAAACTTGTATAAATGAATCAGAATACTTCTGTATTGTGTTTGGACAAGAGACGCCTGCAGATATATGTGGAAACTTAGATATATGCTTGGCAGAGACAGGTTGACCACCTACAAAAGAGGACAAGGCCTATAGTTATGTAGTCCAGCAGATGCTATTCTCTCTTTTGTACAGTTATTTAAAGTGGAAAAAAGTGCAGGCTTGCAAGACTGCTCTTTTTTGCAATTTGCTGCTCTAGGCAGGCCATATGCCTTTTGGAATTGGACAAACACTTAGGTGCCTGATAGCTACAATCATGAATGCGGAAAACAACAGAACCAACTGCAAAGTTACCAAATGCTGTACAGAGGAAGTTGTAGACCACCTAAGCTGCTCCCTGCCTCACATGCACAACAGGAAAAGCATGCAAAATAATATGCACAAGAAATGTGCATCCTGTCCTTTTAGATAAGCATAAAAATGTCAAATGTTTTGCTGATAAACTGCTGGGCAGATGACTCAGTACAAACCTGGCCGAGGAGGAGAGGCAAAGCTAACTTTTGCAGAGGAGTTTAGACAAAGATGAAGTACACATCATATGCACTGGTTCCAGTGGATGGGTTGGATTAAGGGTAGTTAGTAGGGACAGAACAATTGCAGATGCCCCTTGCTTTTCAGTGGCAAAGTTTCCAGACACATTTCTGTTGGGGAAATTACAAGTAATTGCAGGTAAGTGCCCCAAGAAGTCTAGGCGTTTGGAGAGATGATCTATTGATATTTCATCTTGGCAGAGGGAAGGGGACAAGCAAGGTGTTGGCTCTTTGTGAACTGAAGGTCTTTGTTGGAATGAGAATTACTGTGCTGCCTGTCTGAAACCAACTGTGCTAAAAGTCATGGGTGTTAGCCATGAACAACCCGGGAAGAAAATACCTTGCTTTGTTATTAGGTTGTGAACAATGGGTTATTCACCATGCTTTGTTATCTTGATATTTATCTACATTTCTATCCTATCCTCCTTTCAAGAAGCCCAGGCTGACATGCATACTTCTCTCACCCAACTTTATCTACCTGTGAGGGAGGCCAGAATGAGAGAGATTTACTGGTTCAAGATCAACTAAAGGACTTCATGGCTGTGCAGTAATTTGAAGCTATGCACCACTTGACCTTATCTTCGTGCACCACTTAGCCCATCACACAATGCTGGTTACATAAAGCACCACAAATTCAAAAGTCAGGGAGACGGAAACACTGGTGACCACAGAAAGAACCAAGCATACATGAGCACAATTTGTGGTACTCAAGGATTCAGTGCTGTAGCAGAGCCAGGATGTGCAGGGATGCCGTGCATGCAGTTTTTGATTGGCAGGGTGCTGATGTCATCTCTCAGCCCACTCAGCATTCCCTGCAATTCCCTTTGCAATCCTCAGAGAAGCTGGAATTTTCGGGGGAACAATATATAGTTGTGAGCAATTCCTGTTGTAATGCAATGTATTTTGAGGTGGCTTAGTTTTGAACAGGTAATTTAAATCCACATGCTTTACAAATGTTCTGCTCCTGGTGGAAATCAAAACTGGTGGAAACCATTTGCTGAGATGGATCAACAACTCTCTGCATTTTTGGACTTTGCTGGCAGTGTAGCCATGGGCCTGTCACAATGAGCTCTTGTACTTCAAATTGTATTATTATACCATTTCAGAGACACTGGAAATTCAGAAGGATACCCCATTAAGCAAGGCATTCTTTATTTAGCTTTTAATTTTATTTCATCGCATTTTGAAGGAGTGTAGCTTTACTTGCCACTTGTTTCTCTGTATGCTGGATTCTGTGTTGCCAACTGTGCTATTACTCTAGAGATAGACTTGTGGAAATTGTGACCTCCCTTGCCGTTCTCAGCCATCTAGCAACATACTTTTGGCCTTTGAGATCCCTGCTTACCATTTTTGCATTCCCAGCAGGCAGCAAAAGCAGGAGGTTTATTAAGCCCAAGAAGCCACAAATTTGGTTGCCATGGTGACCACGCCTGCCTCCCTTTTGTCCCTTCTCCTGTTTCCAACTTCACACAGCTTTCAGTTCAGCATAGAAATCAGAGATAAGGTCCTGCAACCATATTCTGAGGTTGAAGCTTTGTGCTGTGATTGGGAGACACCCAGAACTTGCTTGAAACACAGTTCAAAGTTAGAGATAAGACCTCTGACCCTCTTGCTCACGTCCTCAGTTCAGGTCATAGGACATGGAAGGGGAGGAGGGGTGGCCAGTGCCCCATTATTAAGCTGGGTGGCCACTTCATCATCACCAAAAAAGGTAAACTCCACCACTAAAAAAAGAGAACAAAAGAGGGAACACATCTGCATCCACATTTGACATATACTAATATAGATGCATTTTAAATATATGTGTTTGAATACAAGTATGATACTTCTAGCCACAGTGGTGAAGAGTGTGACCAAATAGCTTGTGCATCAGTTCAGTTTGCCCAGGTCTAATTGTTGATGGGCAACTTCAAGGTCTCTGCTCTGCTTTGCTCTGCTCTCCGTTCTTGTAATTCTTTACTTTTAAACCAGATGTGAACTAGTCAGCTTTTCAAATAGAGGAGGTCTTCAAACAAAGGACTATCTTCTGGTAACTTTCACAAATGCCCATGTCAGAATTTCAGACCTGCTTGGAATGAATACCCAAATTTACTGGAAGCATACAATCAAGCACTCAACAGTTTATTTACAGCATCAGAAATCCCCAAATTAAAACAGTGCTGAGAGGTAGCAATCTAAGACTGGCTACATGGAACAGAGTGTTTCATGGGGTTGCAGTCACATACACACAGCAGGGAGAAGAATGAATGGGTGATTGTGCAAGAACGTAGATGCATTGAAAAATAATTAGGGTAATAATGGAAAAACATCACACATCAAGATCTTGAGTGACAGATAAAGAGATAAAACAATAATAAGTTAACGAATTTAACAGGCTTCAATGTTTGTTTTTTACAGTCTGAGGCAGGAAATTTCAGAAAGACAATGGGGCTGCTGGCAGAAGGATGGCTGGAGTCTCCAGCATGATTACATATGTATGTCCTGGAGCTTGACTCCTTTTCCCATAGAAAGAATATAAATGGAAAAATTCTGCAGATGGAAGTGGTGGTGGTGGGGAACAGGCAAAGGTTTCTATATTCTAAAATATAACACTTATATTAGGGCAACTCTAATACCTGCTACAAAGTAAAATATATGCCCATCCTACTACTGTTCCTTAGAGGGGCACAAAACTTGTTTTGGTGAGTTGTATATTGAACAGACTTGGTTGTCCGAAATCCAATTTTGTTTTGATTACAAACATTTAACATTAATGATATGATTCTATGCATGCTTAGACAGAAAAAAGGCCTACAACTCCCATCTTTCATCACCCAGACATTGCATCCTAAGCCTGTAATCCAATGTGCACTTAATTGGAGGTAAGAACAAGTGAATGTACTTGTATCTATTTTTGAGCAGACGTGTGAAATTGTGCTGCATTAAATTGTGCTGCATATTTCCATCCATTCTAGAAACATGCTTATGGATGTGGGCAAATGCCAGAATGAGAGTGGGTAGAGTGGTCCTCTGCCATCCTTTACAGAGGACCCTCTCTTTGCAGACTGCCAGAAGACTGTCTGCAGTCTGAAGGCATCCTGTTCTTTGAAAGCTTGCCCTGGCCAATTCCAGGTTCAAGATAAAGAATATTAAGAACTGTCACCCATTAGCCGTGAGCACCTGGAGAGCAGAATGACAGGCAGACACACAGTTTAACTTGTCACAGTGTGCTACATTGAGATTAGTTTTTATGATATCTCTATTTAAATAATGCTAATCATTTCTAAATGTGTATTGTTGCAGATAATTAGCATGTGCAAGTTTTATGCAGACCACAACCCAATTTTGTCCTTTTCTTTGGTCAATTCATAAGCAGCTATTCTTGGTTTGGGGATATACATAAACAGGATTGCTTTGTTTTATCAGCACCCATTTAGACTGTAGACTAAAATAAAGTGTACAGACTTCAGTGATGGAAGTGCCAAATACTACTTTTTTCTGTGTGTTGATCAAACACTCCCTGGACTTTGCATCAGCTACCAAGAGGAAGAATGAATGATTAATTTCCTGTTTTACCAAAGCCAGGCTTTCCCAAGGAAGTTCTTAACCTTTATTTTCTCATATAATTTCTTCCCGTACCCCTTTTCTTTCTATTGTTTTGAAAAAAATAAGTTTTTGTAGCCAGTTACAACAGAATTTCAGAAATAACTCATTGCAAAAAAACTTAGTTTTCAAGTAGGATATCAGAATTTCTTTGAGTTAAATGGAAAGTTCCTGTTGTATGGAACCTTTGCACATTATTGAAGAAATTGTGAACTACTTTCTGCAGGAGTAACTGGAAAACATTTGTCCTCAGTAGCTCAGGCAGATGCTTGCTTACCAGCAAGAGTAAAGTGCATGGTGAAAAAGTGCACAGAAATATAGTTCAACTCTTCTGAAGAAAACACTTCAACAACAAATGGATGGGCCAAATACTTACGGTATAATTGGGCCTAACCAAAATTTATATATATCACATATATATTTCACATATATATTAATCTAAGCATCAACTTTTATAACATGCAGCATTTTTGATTAAACGTTCTCCAGCATTTGAATCACATGGGAACCAGAGGAGGGTCAGTCTCCCTCAGGAATCATTTTTAGGAAGCAAGAGGTGCCAGAAGGACACATTCCAGCACAGGCTTTTCCCAACTCTGCTGCTGCTGTCATTAAGCATATGAAGCTATGGGGTTGCTAGACTGCAATATGAAGAGTTACCCTGTGCAGGGCGGGCAACTTGTGACCCTCCAGATGTTTTGGTTTACAACTCCCACCAGCGCTAGTCAGCATAGCTGGTGGTGAAGCAGCACGATAACTGCATGCAAAAATGTCTGAAGTGCCACTAGTGGCTCACCCCTGCTCTCAAATGGCCAAAAGAAGGGAAGATGAAGCTGCTGCAGTCATTCCCTTTTCTTTTATACTTCCTGCTATTTACTATGCAGGACATCTCAATTTCTGCTTTCTTTTATTGATCGTTCACAGGAAGGTAAAGAAGGACAATGAGCAGAAAAGTCAGAAAAAATCATCATCATCATCATGTCATCTTTGCTTCTTTGGCAATCTTAAAAATGTGTACAAAATCTCGGTGTAACCTGCCACTAACCTGCCCTACAAAAGGTGCAATTGCTTTGGGATGCAATCTTTGGGAGTGTGATCTTTGCTGGAAGGACAAAGGTCTTGTCTGCATTTAATGATCAGCCATGGTAAGGCTTATTGAAATCCGTCTTGTGTCTAAACTAATTTCACAAACAAACCATAGCTTTAAGAGACAATGTTTAGACATGCCTTGTTGATGACTTTAAAAGCCTATCTGTTTAAAACCATGGCTTGTCTTGATGTTGAACCTGGAGCTGTGGCTTATCCTTGGTTTGTTTGTGCTGCTATCCTCTGAAAAAGAAAGGTCCCCAGCAAATGCAGTCTAAAAATGAATACATTTTCAAGGGTGCAAAATGAACAGGAGAGAAACAAACTTGAAATGAAGAAAGCAAGTAATGGCTTTTTTTTCTCATCTGCAAGACAATTCTTGACAAAAGCAACAATCCATGCTTAATATAAATCATGACATAGTGTTATATGTGAATATATGCTAAAATACTTGGATCAGGGATAGCCAACTAGTAATTGGAATTGCTGAAAGTACTGTATAAGGACTGAGGTAGAGAAAAACAGAAGAAGAAACCAAAGCCACCTTTTGCCCATTTGTGAATACAAGCATAAAAACAAAGTTATATAAACATTTAGACTCAATGATGATGATTCAGAAGTATTTGCAAAACAGAAAGCTGTATGGTTAATACAATTAAAATAAGGACCTGTGTGCAGAATTCCTATCTAATGCTATATATCTATCATTCACAAAAAGTAAAATGTTCCAAATAATATTTAAAAACTGTGTGCAACCTGGCCATACAGAAACATGAAAATGTCAAATGTCCGGTAGATAAACCCCTGTGCAGTTTGTGCCAAGAGAGGAAATAATAATTCACTGAAAAAGGAAATGAGCAACATCTGTTGTCTTGGAGCCATCGGTTCAAACATGATATCAAGTAAAACACTGATCCTTATTACAATTTACAAAGACATTAAATTTTATCTATCAAGCATGCAATCTACACCCACTTATCTTGTATCAATCCCTGCTGAATGTAAAAGTACATGGTTGGACAAATTTATGACGGAGAAAGCGATCAGTGGCCACCAGCATTGCTGGCTATGTGCCACCTTCATTATCAGAGGTGGTATGTCTGTGCACATCAGTGGCTGAGAAGCTTGCTGGGACTCTTGTATCCATCCTGCTCGAGGGATCCTGTGGACAGTTGCTTTGCCACAGTGTGAATGGAGTGCTGGACTGGATGGACCATCAGTCTGATCCAGCATGGCTTTTCTTATGTTCTTATATTCTAAGCCTAACGAAAATGTTAAAAGAAAAATAACAAAAATTCATATGTGTGGAGTGTTTTTGGCTTGCTTCCTTGTTTTTAAAGGAGACCAACCAGTGCTGTTTCAGCACATTGGAGGGGCTATCACTGGCTGTCAATTCTGAGATAGCTGTTCACATACATACCCCGACAAGCACACACACACAAAGGGTGGCAGAAAAATAAATTGAAGCTCAATCCAGACAAGACAGAGGTCCTGTTGGAGGGTGGCTCAGGCTCTGGGGTAGGTGACTTAGACCTTGTCCTGAATGGGGTTGCACTCCCTCTAAAGGACAGAGTCCTTTAGGAGTGTTCCTCGACCCAGAGCTTTCTTTGGAGGCTCAGGTGGCCGCTGTGGCGAGAAGCGCTTTCCTTCAGCTTTGGCTAATCCATCAGCTGCGTCCCTACCTGGAGGACGACTGCCTAGCAACAGTGACACATGCATTGGTTACTTCCCTATTGGACTACTGTAACACACTCTACGTGGGGCTGCCCTTGAGGACAGTCCGGATACTTCAGATGGTACAAAACAGAACAGCCAGGTTGCTGTCGGGCTTCACTGGCTCTCCATCAAAGTCCGGGCTCAATTCAAGGTGCTGGTTATCACCTACAAAGCCCTTAATGGCTTAGGACCTGGATACTTGAAGGAAAGCCTGCTTCCATATTTGCCCTCCCACCCCTTGAGATCGGCAGCAGAGGCCCTCCTCTGGGAGCCTTCCATGAGAGACATCAGGAAGCAAAGTACCCGGAGGAGGACTTTCTCTGCGGTGGCGCCCCATCTGTGGAATGTGCTCCCCATAGAGGTCAGCCTGGTGCCGTCGTTATTTGTTTCTCAGCGCCATGCTAAGACATTTTTATTCAAACAATATTTTAACAACGTATAGTATTTATAAGTTTTAATTGTGCAGCCAGGGTGTTTCCGGGTTTTATCTGTATCTGTATTTGTATTATATTTATTTATTTGTGTGAGCCGTCCCGAGGTTATATAGCAAGGGGACAGCATACAAAAACTTTAAATAAAATAAAATAATAAATATTAAAAGGGAAAAAAATGAGGTGATGAGCAAAACTGGGCTTGTGATCATAACAGGGGACACTGAGCTAGTGATGGTCTGTAACTAGTTGTGGCCTGAGCAAACTAGACAAGAGGGCTTTGCTGCTCTTGATGAGTGTCTGCTGCAACCCACAGTGGAATCAGCCACTCAGATTTGCATGACACAGCAACCTACTTTGGCTAGTAACCCATGATGGGTTGTCATGTGAACCCATGTGAACCACATTACTATTTCATAGACTTAAGAGCAGTCACTTTTATAGAAATTTTAAAAAATAGGTAAAAAGAGACAATTGCAGAGGGTAGGTGAAAAAGCTGAAATCAGGTATATAGAATCTCTAGCAAGGATTTCAAAAATGTCAGTTAAGCATAATTGTGTAGGGTAGGGTGTTGCAATAGCCTGATGCAATAACTGAAATTTAAAAGTCTTTCCAGTTCAGCAACTTGCATCTATCTTAACCATGGCTGTAGTCATCCATAAAAGGTGTAAGCCATCAATAAGAAGAAAATCAGGGTATATGAACATGTGTCGGTGGGTGGGTGGGTGGGGAGGATGTAGGATGGCCATATATCTCCTTTTACAGGGGACAGTCCTGTACTTGGAGGTAGCCAGAGAACTTTCCTCTGGTTTGAAGGCATCATCAGATTAATGTCTGTCCAGTCCAAATCCAGAATAAAAATAAGGAGCTATCAGAAGGAAGATCTAGGCCTTAACATTGCCCATCAGCACACCTGAACAGCAGAATGAGCAAGGCACACAAGCCATCATATTTTTACATACTTTGGTGAGATTTATGGAATATCAATAGATATTATAAATTAGCAAATGCCATTTTAATGCAAATAGTGTCCCTTTTTGTCCCCTTTTTGGTGATTTAGAAGAATCCACTGTATGTGTGTGGGAGTTCCTATGAGCCTGATCCAGCCCACTGGATTTATATGTGAAAGCCTTGATGTAGCGAATTCTCCAATCACGGATAGCTAGACCGTAGGCATTCATCATGCCATACATACTTCACATATTGTACCAAGAGACAGCTGCACAGTCACCATTTCTGTCTGCGATCCAGTCAATGAAAATAGATTTTCAATCATTCCAAGGAGAATAATATTAAAGTGGTCAGGAAGCCAAGCTGGATATGACAGAAGCAGAAGGCCAGCAGGAATGGGGAAAAAGACCCCAAAACAACTGGTAAACACATGGAAACAGGTTGGGTTCACATGAGACAGCAAACAAACCTGCTCTGTTCCCACAGGACACAGATTTTTGCCCAAAGTTACCAGACCAGATTGTAAGACAATCAAACAGTTACCCAGGCAACACAGTTTTCATGCTCCCTGCTCCAACTTCCTCGCCTCAATGTGCATTCCAGGAGCCCTCATGAGGGAAATCCCTCATGAGCCTTTCCTTATTCTTGCCTATGGGCTACACCAGCCTCCTCTTGAGTGGTTTACTGCTTTTCTGAAGTGGATCTTCACCTTTCCCCTCCTGAGTGAACCTATATTTCTGTGGCATTTCCCAGCAACTCCAACCTCCACTGAAAATCAGTTTTGCCACAATTCCCCCTTTCTTCCTCCAGGCGTTTTTGCTCTGTCTCCCTGTTTCTGAAAGCAACAGTCACTGGCAGCAACATGGACAAGAATGTGAGAAGCAGCAGGGCTTTTGGCCATCTTGCCAAGTGGTACCGTAGCTGATCCCAGCAACACACAATGAAATTGTTCTGACTTCAGATGACATGACAACCTATTCTAGCTATGAAAACCCCTGAACAACCAATGGGTTATCAGGGTGACTTGTTCTTGAAAAATAAGCCACTGTGTGGATAGTGCATTTGGTTGGCACAACACGGCACAGCATGACAATTCATTGTGGCTAGCTGCTTGTGACGGATTGTTGTGCCATGAGAACAAGGTCTACATGTCAAGCCCTCATTGCCAGGCCTGTCTGTTT